TATTTTCAGATTATTAATGGTTGTAATAATCATCATAATTGTACATGTCTTTTACATCTTAGTCACACATTAGAGTACACTGTAACTGGGGAATCCAGCTATGACTGACATCTCTTTTTGGGATGGATTTTAATTAGGGTGGGGTGATTCACCCCCCGTCCCCTTAAAATAGAAAATTCATGTTTGGATGGGCGTTAAATTGGGCATAGACATTAAATGGTGGTGGAGACATGCGTGCACTATCCACACTCTACATATTTTCTTTTTAAACAATGTGTGTATAGACATACCTGCCTGTATCACTTGAAGTGGGATGGGGCCATATTTTTTGGGGAAAAGAGTGACTGGCTGTGATTATCCAAACTGGCAGATGAACCCAGCCACCTTCCTTCCTAAAAACAGTAACATTGCCCAAAGAGACATTTCAGTTGGCTAAACCTCTAAATTAGTCATAACTATTAGCTCTTTGAAATTACTCTATCATATAAACAGTAGCACTGCTAGCAGGGGTAAAATGTAGATACCTAGAAGTGCCTGCACATACCTGCAGCAACTCTCCTTTTTTTCTGCTACAGCCAAACGCAGGCTGCTCTGAAGAGGAAAACCTCCAACATTTAAGGTTAATGTTAGATCTTGCATGCTCATTCCCTTCCCCCCACACCGATATTGCTCCATCACAACAACTGGCTGCCTCCTTGGCCAACAGCAATGTTGGAGAAGGGACAGCAGGCAAGAACCAACACCACCAGATGTGTTCATTTACAGAATAATACTTGAGATTGTTATACAAACATATTTCTAAGAAAGTGTAAAGAATTAAATATTAATTGCCAGTACCATATTAAGTTTGCTTGATGACCACTTATTAAAAATCCAAGTTGTTTTGTGTGTTTTTCAAGGGTTGGGTCATCAAAAATTGACATTTCCCTTTGGAAGGTTATATTAGCTACCAACCTTTGGTAAGCCATAGGTACTTTAACTGTGTAGTCTCTGCAGCTGAAATCCTAGTTCAGCTCCAACACTTCACTCCAACTATTATAATTTACAATGAAAAGAAGGAGATTCCAAAGTGAAATGGCAGGAGTTGGAAACTACTGTCGGAGATTCCACTCACAATTATCAACCAATAATTCAAATGTTAGTTTAAAGTAGATCAATCCATTAAACACAACATGATTGATTTACTAAAGCAGCAGAGAATGTTCACTTTGCAAGCTAAATGGTCACTGAACATATCTCTATGACTAAGCCTGTAAAGGTGAAACATGTCAGAAGTGGGCGGTGCCTGGGCAGGGAACTCTCATGCTGGAAGCTGTGATTATCACGTCTGTAATTGGTGGACATTGGTGTGTGGCCTTTTTTGTTTGTTTCCTGAATTTGTGGAGTGTGGGCGGCTTCTGACCATCACCTCCACATGAGTTGTAGTGGAGACCGATTCCTGATTGAGCGGCAAGATCTTCCCTTGCTGTTTACATGAATGTTCACTGAGCTTAGTAAAAAGGGTAAATCTGTGTTTATCTCAACCATCCAAGCAAAACTATTGGTTGTTTTATTCATTTCCTTTGCAGGTGATTGGCTATTCCAAGTGAATGCAGCTTCCCCTTATTGACTTACTTAAATGAACATTCACTTTATAAAGTTAAATTTTTCTTCTCCTTTAATAAATCAACCCATTTGTGTTTATTTTAGTTTCAAGTTGGAATGTACTGAGAGGACTATGTTGGCTGCCATTGTTATGCTGATCCAATGGTTTGACTACTGTCTAAGTCACTTAGTATGTGGATCAGGAGATCTGATCTAACTTTCTGCAGAAAGCATTGAAGCTATGGACAGCCAGGCAGTTATTATTTGTAGAAGGACATCAACAATGGTTGCCTACAAGTTTCTCTCAGTACAGGTCTTCATTAAATATTCTACCTAACAGACATCGACTCGACTTCAGCATATTAACTGCTGTCACCACCTGTCCAGATTTGTGTATAGATTGAAGTTTTCTCACATTGCTCAGAAGGGAACTTAAAATGACTTTCAACGACCTTCAAGATTACTTTTATTGGGTCTTTCAAAAGCAGCAATTGTGTTATCATGACAGACCCTGCAAAAAGGCACTATATGCCACTGTACATGAGGGAAAAAATGCAAGGTTGTTCTGAGCAAACTAAAGAAAGCCATCTTCCATAATACATGAAAATAAAACATGGAATACTGAGACATTTATATATATTTATATATAATCTATTTCCTTTTCTCTATTATACCATGTGCTTTTATATAGTCTCTAGAAAACACAAGAGAGGTCAGTCCTATCTGTGCTACCCTCAACTGGCTGCTTACGGTACTACCATAACTCCCATTCTTACATTTTTTTTTCTGGAAAGTTCTGAAGAGGCATAGATGAAGTAAAAACACTAGAAGACAAAGATTTTTTTTCTTTTCTGGTTCTAAACTGTAAAAGTACAAGAATATAGAGTATTGATTATATGGACAATTCAATCCTGGGCCTCAGGAAGTACACTTTGTTATTGAGCTCAAATAATCATACACACAATCTCACTGCAACAAATCTGTTCACATATCTAGTATTCTCCTGAATTGTGACTTGACTAGCTTGTGACTTGATTAGCTGCTTATATTTTGGAAGCTGTGACTGAATCTTAAAGTGTACCTCTTGCTAAAAGCACTAAGAAATAGAAATGCGTGAGAGAGATGGCGAGCAGAGAAGGAAATTATAAAGAGGAATAGTTCTCTGTGCAAAAATTGATTAAGGCTGCAAAAAATAGACATCAGGAAAACACAGGAGACAGTGTGCAATATGTGTTTTTCTCTGGGATTTTCTCCTATGTTTTCGGAAATTCTTCTCTTGAAGGTAGTGTACACAGCTGACATGTTTTACATAGAGAATAAGGGCTTCACTTATAAAAGTCCCGCCTGGCATATAGTTGGGTGGGTGCTGTTCGCAAGGCACTGGCAACCCTAGATGGTGCTGACAAGTACAAATACATTCTATACACATCAGCAGCATCTAGGAGTGCTAGTGCCCTGCAAACAAGATTCACCCAGCTATACACCAGAGGGAACTTTTATATATGAAGCCCTAAAAGTATATATCAGGGGTGGGCAAACACTAGCCCTCCAGCTATGGGGCAACTACAGATTAGGCATTGCAAAACTCTGACAGCCACAGACATGACTCCCAGAGGTAGATGCATGTTGGGATTTGCAAATTCACTGCAGCTGGAGGGCCGGAGTTTGCCTACCCCTGTTCTATATGATGTCCTACTCCGCTCTCTGTCTCTTCCCCTTCCTCCATTTATGACAAAAATATGATGGAGGAGAGAAAGACTTCAGCCAGCTTTGTGTACAAGACTTTAGTGATACATATATCTGGCTCTTCAGTCCATGAATAAATTAGGAGCCAGAGATATATTATATCTAAATGTGGCCACACATATATTGATATGTTGATCAATCTAAACTGATTAAATTGAATAAACATTGTAAACCCCAAACCCTCCATTCGATTAATTTAGAAAGCTCTCTAATGATTTTCATTCAGCAAAACAATTGATCGCTTCCGATAGACTGATCAAATATTTGTGTGTGCGAGAGCTGATCGTGATCCAGATCGAATAAATGATCATTTTTAATAGACAGTTTACATTAATACTAATTGTATTTTTGATCAATATTTTCAGTTGCAGAATAGTGCTGTGTGCGTCGCACTGTTCAATATTTTAAAAGATGATAGATCCCTTGTTTGTGATCTCCAGTATCTAAATCGATCACAAATCGCTACATGCATGGCCACCTTAAGGTGTCAGACAGTTTGGGACTTATATTATTAGTGGCTAGGATGAAAGTTTTTATGCTTCTGATAGCAGCCACACATAGTAAAAAATGGCAGCTGAGATTTGACTGCTTGCAATAGGCAGCAGACATGCTTTTGTCATATGGCAAAGAACAACATCACTGTATAGTAACAGAACAACCAATCCACTGCCATCTTTAGTTTCTCTAACAGCTGTAAAAAGATGGATGGTAAAATCTGATTGCTCACAATAGGTTACTGTGCTCTGTGCATTACATGTGCTCACTGCCTTATTGAAGCAGGCCAATTATTTTCATACATGTCTAACACATGAGAATCGTTGCGCCTTCCGCATAGATTTTCATTAATTTAAACTGGAGCTACACAGCAATTTAAAATGGTTAATTTGCACTTTTAAAATGAGTAGAGACTTCTTATGGTGGGAGCTACACATTATAATGTAGCAAAGATCAATCACTCAGAGGCACAATGCTGCAATTTTGTGCAATTGTGTGCTATACCATAATGTAGAGTTTGTCCTATAAGAAGCCCATTTTTTCACTAAAAGATAATCTGTCACTTTGCCCATTCAGGGAACTGAATTCGGAGAACTCGGGAAATATCTGGTTCTCCTGGGTATGAGGTAGCATGTGACCTCCTTCCTTTTGCCCAGGATACAGTGCTCAGGTTTGAGTGGGCTTCAATACCGAATGACGCAAAGCCTACACAGGGTTAGGACTTCCAGCTCTGACAAAGGAACAGAGTAGTGGGGGAGCACGGGGAAGGTATACCTTAGTAGTTGGGTTTGGGTGGGAAGATTTTTTTCAGTAGAAAACCAGTCTCTCTTTCATAAATGGGCAAAGTGATAGACTGTCTTCAATAACAGCTCATATGTCTTCCATAATTAGTCTAGGGAATTTTCCCACTACACTCAATTAATTCAAAAATTCCTGTGTAGTTTCGGCTTTATATTAAACAGAATGTATTATGATTATCATAACTCAAAACTATGTGATTTAGCAATGTATCTTCATATCAATACCTTCCAAGATTTCACAAAACTTGAATTCTACCAAATAACATTGTTGGAAGGTATGAACAAAATGGCTGCCTCTAATGTAAATTACAGGTACACTTTAATATCTAAATCCAATGTTGACTTAAAAAAGTTTGATATGCTCTAATTTTGAAAAAATCAGTTTGTCTTATATTAATAGTTCCAATTTGTCAAAAACAGGCCTGCAGCCACTTAAACTATTACCATTTAATTCTGCTACACCAGATGAAAGCTAGACTTGGCCAAAATTGCTACAGAGTTCATGAACCAATGGAAGAAGTTGTCACACAACGCCGCACACCCATGCCGCAACACTCATAAGATGCGAGAAGTCTTGCTGTGGGGCCCAGGATTCTACTTGTCAGTAACTTGAAGACATATCTATGTAAAGTGTTCAAAAACTTCAGTCTAGAAGTGTCAGGTTCTCTTTCTCTTTTTCTCTTGAGAAGAGTTCCAAAGTCTAGAGAGGGAGAATCCAATATGAGGAGTAAGAATATCTTCTGGTAAAGAAATACTGAGGCACAAAACAGTTGCTTCTACTGCTTTCATACATGAAATCCTTTTTCTTGTAAATGCATGATCTGTAACCGTAAAGTCTGTATACTGCTCACTATTCTTCTCTGGTGTCCAATGAGCGTTACCCCGATTCTTCTGATATCACTGTTTACAAAAAAATAAAAAATGACTTAACACATAAAAAAGGTACAAAGACAAACAATAAAGTCATTGTTCAACCTTGGGTGCATTGTCATGCATTTTGTAACACAGGAAAAGTATGGACAAGAGAAAAGAAAAGTTTTCAATAATACTCGTGCACACCAATCTGTTGCCTTGCAGGGTGCTGTGAAAAGGTCCTGTATACTGTGTGTCTATGAAGATTATTATTTATTTAGCTCATGGTATACTAGTAGTAGTTGGCCATATACAACTGGATTTGTCTGTAATGTTGAAATGTTTCACCGCTCATCCAGTTTTATTGATCAGGGACCCCAGCCTTTAGCGGCTGCTTCACAGGACCTGGGGTGGAAGGGATTCAATTAATTCTTTGTTCTTTCTTGCTGCATTAATATATAGGTGTTTTTAGGCACTGTGTGGTAACAGATTGGTGACTGATACATCTGCTGACCATACAGATACTAGGAATCTTTGTCCACTTACCTGTCCAGCTGTTCTCCTTTCCATAGGGATAGGCTTCCCATTGGGCAGTAGGGCAGTGGGCTGCAGGGTTGCATGAGGCAGAAGCCATTATAAAGCAGCCTACCTTTGGATTTACTTCACTGCAGCTCACCTTAACTCCTGCATGCCCATGTTATAATGTATTACATTTGTTTTGTTGTGGAGAGATGTGGCCCCCACAATAAATACAGTGGTCTTTCAAGCCATTTAAATTCATCTGTGTGTGTTGCTTTATTATATACAAAAGTACTGTATATAATGGCACCAGGGTTGACATCTGTTAAGTAATCTCCTCTCTGTGAATAGACCCGGATGTGAAGATGATTTAGTTACTTTTGGTTTCTAAGATGTCATTGCCTGGCCACAGAGGCCAGACAAGAAGCTAATCAAGCATGACCTGTGCTTGATTAGCTTCAATGGGCTACAAAGGTGACATTAGGGGTCTAACAAACTAAAAGCACTACTAAAGCACTATCAAGTAGGGGACCTATTATCCCCCTATGTGATAGTAGTAAAGTTAAATAAAAAAAAAAGTTTTAAAAAATAAAGTTGAATTAAAAAAAAAGCAAAAACACCCAATAAATCTTTTTTCAAAGCCCTTTGCCCACACGCACATGCACATACTAAAACAAACATGCCATTTCACTGGCAAACACAATTTTAAAGCTTGACATGCTGGTTATCTATTTACACATCGCAACCTTATCTTTTATAGTTTCCATAAAATTGGATAATATATTGTGCTTATGTGCACTAAAATAACAAGTGTATTTTTTAACTGAAAATATGGGTTTGATAAACAGTTGCGCTAATATCATGCAAAATACAAAATTGCAACTGCCATCATTTTATTGTACAGGGTCTCTGCTTTCAGAAAATATATAATTATGGTGGGTGTTAAGCACTTTTAGTGTCTAAAATGTGCATTTTAACATGTGTGCAAAAACACATAAACTGCTCTGGCATCGAAAGGCGTTAAACAATCACTGGCCTCTCTAGCTGCTTGTGCTGTGCAGTTATTCATTTTCAGAGATCACAAGTAAGACTCTAAAGTCTAATATCATCAGTTTCTAACGACATAGTGGGATGTATATTACATTAGCCAGAAAACTCTGTGTGCTACTCTAAAACTAGTTTATTTCCACATAAAAAGCTTTATTATATACTTCAAGTAAATACATTTCACAAACAGGATTGTGTGGCAAAGATTCATTTCATAAAAAAACATTTTGTGGTAGCTATACAGTTGTACTGAAGTCCCCAAAATCTTGCTTTCCTCAGCAAGCATGGTTAATTGTGCAGCTTAGGAAGGGGGTATGTTGGACCACTGTACGGACACAGCGGTCCTTCCGTGCAGCCTGCTGCCTTTTCCTTGGATATTTTAGCTGGCCCTGGGGATCAGTTAAAGGTCTGTCGACATTAAGATTTATACACATAAGCTAGTGAATGCTTATGTGCAATTTCTTGTAAACCTTTAATTAGGCTTTAATTGCAATCTGTGTAGGTTTTTTGTGGGTGCTCCAGCTCTTTCCTATAAACAAAAGTCATATTGCTATGTTAATTATCCACCGGCCAAAACGGGCCTTCGTGTGTGCATGTGTAGATATGGCTGTAGAAAGTTATAAGACTCTGAACTCCTTTGTGGGATAGAGAATGATGTGAATGGTTCAATGTCCTCTGTAAAGTACAGCGGAAAAAGGGTAACAAAAAGTGAAAACCAAAAATGTATAGTGCTGCCACTGGCAGCTAAAACCCTACAAGGTCCTGCTAATTATACAGAATATGCTGTGCATAAAATAATATTATAGAGTGCAAATCTAGCTATATAGGCTGCAATATTGCCAATGACCTGGACTACTGCCTGCCCAAAGCATGTGTGGCTAAAAGGACAAAATCACTGTGCTCTAACTATCCCTCTTTAACTTTTTAAAATATTTTACATTACATGTTATATATGGTGCCCTGTGTGTTCTGGTATGGGGGTGTTTTTATTATGTTGGCAACATGTGTGGCATTGTAGACAAGAGTTACAAACAGTACAGCCAAAAACAGATTGAATCAGGCATGACTTTACTCCCAAGAGCACAAGAGCTAAATAAAGAATATTATTGATGGGAGATGTAATGTAAACATTTTTTTTCCTGAAAAATGTCCCTTATTACATAATAACTTACTCATTGCTCATTCTGCAAACTAGGTCCAGCGTTGTGAACCCGGCTGCCATGAAGTTACTGGCATACTGACCCATCTTTATAGACTCTAGCCACTCGGTGACTGTGACAAAAAAGTGATATTCTTGTATTTCTCCTGGTGATTCTGGCAAACTAGACGAGAAAAAAAAAGACATTACAAGTGTTTCCTGCTCAGGTAACATACACATATCAGCTCATATCCGTTAACTGGAACAACTTGTGGTAGTGCTCTATCACAGGGAACAATGCAGGTCCTTTATGGTCTTTCCAACTAACATCCACATTTAGCAAATATTTCTATGATTGGCTAAAAGAGTTTTTCTATCCATTGTATGGTATAGCCCCATGTTTTACTTCTAATTAATGGCTGGATATGTTTGTTAGGGTAAATTCATGATGATAGTTCAAAATGGTGGGAAACAGTATACCATACCAAATACTTTACCATAAAAATAGTCTCTGAGCTCTGCATTATAAATAGCATGAACATGCCCTGATATGTGAGGTGTTGTCTTTTTCTTTTATCACTAACAGTAGAAGGAGATAGTGCCCACGTTGGACTTAAAGCTCCAGTGCCAGTCACAGGTGCCACAGCTACAGAGGACCCATTCTAGTCCCAGAAGCACAAACAGACAATGAAAGAAGCCCCATAATCACCAAACCCTTCCTTTCTTCAATAAGCTTTATTCAACAGGGAATAGTGCAGTGCAAATAATTCCATCTGCCAGACCCTGCAAATTAAAATGCTTGCACCCACGTATTTATGTTATTGTTTTAAGTATACAGATTTGCAGATTCACTGCTAGACTGCGGGAATATATTTATTCAACCTCCCTGCTTCTCAACTGTTGAACATCCATTCTCTGATCTGCTCTGTGATCAATGAAGCATGAATCACTCTCAGCGCTTCCGGCTTTAGCTATCAGACGCCAGCTGAAGTGCTGGATATACAGCCTATCAAGCACATTCCTGTGCTTCATGATCTCTATTGGGCAGGAAAGAAATGAAAGGTCTAATAGACCCCTGATGCCTCCATAAAGAGAACCTGTCACCCCCAAATGCTGTCACGTAGGGGCTAGCTAGCCTCTTTGTGGCGGCAAAAGTTAAGTGGAAAAATAAAACACAAAAAAGTAAAAAATAATAAACTAAAAATAAAAAAAACTAAACCAACTCAACTGATTCTAATGAACATGTGCATGTAAGGCATGCATGTGTATGTAAACGGAGGGAGGTGACTTCTGACAATTTTTTAAATAAATAAACAGTGTAATGTACTGGGATTGGCATATTAGCACTGTGCCTGGGAACACACACCAGCAACTATGCATTGTAGTGCAGAAGTTGGTGTAAATGCAAACCTAAATGGCAGACCATGGCACGGACACGGACTGGGTGACCGTTCTGGGTGACTGTTCTGGACTACTATTCGGACGTCAGCAAAATGAAAATTTTAGTCACTGGACCTCCTTGAATTTTAACTTCCTGGTCTATACTATCCCTTTAAACGCTAACACTGCCTTTGTAACAGATATACAATTGATAAGCCATGGCTTAAGAACAGGGAGGAAAGTAAGAACTGACAAAAAAAATGAATGTAGACAGTTTTTCCCCACTCAGAGCTTCTTTGGGAGCCTAATTAATATTATTTTTTGTTTAACATCATTGCTATTCTGTTTCGGTTGCTGGTAGGCATGGAGACAAAACAATGGGGATAGAGGGATGAACTGATGATATATTAATAGAATGACCCCAACTAGAAGAGAGGTACTGCAATTTGTCAGGAAAAATTTAGAGTTCTGCTATGTAGACAGGTGTGATCACCATTTATAATGGACACTGCTCACACCTGAACGGATTGTGTTATTGTAACAGATAGCTGTAATTACCATGATTAAGAGATCTTTCACGATAACAGCATGGTGCAACTGAACAAAAAACCTTGTCACATTATACTACTCCAATGACCAGTTTAAGACTTGAATAAATAATGTCGCTGAACAGAGGGCACACTTAAGCCATTGTGCACCAGCGGCTCCTCTTAATCATAACCTGCCTTTATGCATGTACATTTATAGCAGCTATAACTGTGAAGGTTGCTTTTTTCTATACATTGACATACTTCTCTGTACATAGGTCATAGTAGTTTGAATTTAATGATCTTGATCCTATGATCTGCGTTCCACTGCCCTTTAGTTTACACATTATTCATGCTATTAAGTTACTGAATCATCAAGCCTCCCTTTACATACAGTCTAAAATTAATGTATGAACATCAGGAGGACAATTTGTGTAACGAGGTTGGACTGTGCTTGTTCATAAGGCAAGTCTAAAAGTACTGAGGATACAAACAGAGCATATCACTGAGCCTCTGTAACAAAATGACATTTTTCAAAATGTGAAATTTAATTGGTTGCTGTGAGTTTCTCCAAATTCCACATCATCATTGCTTTCTGCAGTGTTTGCTTACAGTACATCTAATGCAAAAAACAGACAACATAAAAATCTAACGCATTCCAATCCTAACTAAAACAAAAACAAAATGGCCTTTAGACACACTTTAATAAAGTCTAGCTGCATGATGACTTATCATCAAGAATCAACCATAACAGGTATTGAATGTGGGACCTTTCAGGTTCTGCAATGGATTTGTTTAGGTATTAAAGTAGTATTAAAGTCTCTCTTTTTTTTTTTTACAGATATCTTCTGCTAACAAGCAGTAGATATCTGTAAAAACATTTTAACAAAATAAAAAAGTTCCTAAAATAGGTAAGAACTTACCTGTATCACCACAGCTCGCTCCCGGCTGTAGAATCCAGCTTCCCTGAACGGCCGTGCCGGAGGATGTGTGAGGGCGCATGCGCAGTGGAGATCACCAGTGGGGACAGGAGGAAAGCTACAATGAAAGTAAATGCACGCAGCCGTGAGCGTGCACGTCGGACAGACTTCGTGGGACAGGAAGAAACAGCAGTCTGTGCTGGATCAGAGACCGGCACCGGCGCTGGAGGGACTGCTGAAAACGACGGGAAGGAAGGAGATGATCGGATCAAGAGGCATCCTTTAAGGTAAGTCCCCACATCAGCATTGGGGGTGGGGATTTGAGTTTAATGTCACTTAAAGAAAATACAGGTTTTATTAATGCAAAAGTAAAATATTCAATTAAATGCATATTTAAGCTGTTGTAATAATAAAATATGTAAATACATATATTTACAAGCCCTGGTAACTCATATAGGGTGGCAAGCCAGGTGGAACTTAATTGATATACAGTAACATACATAAAGTACTGCCAAGGGTACCCTAAAAGTTCATCAGTTGTCTTCCACTGTACAGGAATGACAGCCATCTGGCTGATATATTCTGTTACATAAACGTCATGTTGGTTTAAAAACGGTCACTCTGAAAAGTACCACATTCAATGTATCTACTGCTTCATATGCCCCAATATGGAGGCTCTCAAAGATTAGAGTTAGGACCACATTACACAGAGGGGACCTTGATGAGGCAGTGTGGCTTTCAAATATTACGCAAAACTTCTTCAACTAAAACCTCTGTTTTTAACACATACTGTTAGACAGTGTCATTTGTTTTGTTGCTGGCTAGCTGGTAAGTGTGCTGGGAAATATCTGTCTTTTGTCCCACAATTAATATCTATAATGATTAATTGATTATATAGTCTCTTGGAGATGTATGCTGAGATATGGTGGGTTGGTCCAGATATCTACCCATTATATGTCCACTTATGTTTCTGTAGGTTTTTTTCTGTTATATTTACAAGAGAACTATGAGGTGAGTGATTTACACTCATCCTCATAGTTAGAGCCGACGTGTGACATTGAAACTATTGATCGGGAAGTGAGCGAACACACACCGTCGCTCGCTCACTTCCCGATCATCTCCCTGCAGAGAGCGGTGACTGTCATTCACCGCTCCCCACAGGGATTTCCCCCTCCCCTCTCCGATCCTCCAGCGCTGACTGGAAGAACGGACGGGCAAGCTTTGAGTCACAGGAGGAGGTTAGTATAAGCCCTCCGGTGACTTTGTGATTTTTTTTTTCTTAATCAGCTACAAACATTTGTGGTTCACAACATTGTATTTTTGACCAATCAAAGAAGAATCAATAATACCATTAAAAGTAAATATGTCTGTTCAGTCAACGTCACAATAATTTGAGCTTTGGAAATGAAAGAATGAAGGTAAAAAAAAAAAAGTTTCCTACACCATGACACCTTGAATACAGTTGGAAATATTCTGGCTTGCACAATTAATACAATTTTTCATCTGAACTGTAAAAAAAAAAATATCAACAGAAATTCACAAAAACTCCACTTATAGGTCCTTCTTCTTGGATTTGACTGGAATATTGCTGTAAACCCCATAAACAAATTAAAACACAATAATTGGTTCACTTGTGGTAAACTGCCAACTTTAAAGGCTAGCATATAGCTGCTCAGATATGCAGCCAGGATGATTGATGTAGCGCTACAAAGATAGCATCAGTGTGTGTATGTGGCCCCTGCATAATAGGTGCAGGCTGCAGCTAGCTGCCATTTTGACTTGAAGGATACATTTAATGCAAAATGATGCAAATAGTCAGATCTGTCTGTGATTTATAAAACAGATGAGTATGTTATATGCTGGTATCTGAAAAGAAATGATCTTTATAATGTCTGATTCTGGTCTGTAGAAAATAGGTCACCAGCACTCCATAAGTTAAAATGAATGAGTCCTTTTAATGGACAATGATGTCACAGAAATCCAACATGAGCCGACGTTTCGGGGCCACACAGGGTCCCTTCTTCAAGGCAAGAGATGTGACCAAATTTGGTGACCTATTTTCTTCAATCTTGTGTTTTGCACGGTGCCATCCGTGAAGTTACTTCGAGCACCATTTATTTGATTGTTGGCCGGGACTGCTGAAAGGTGTGCGGAGGGCACCTCCATCAATTGCATCTGATTCTGGTCTGTGTTGCCTGCCTCAACCCTGTCCTGATTAAATTCCTGTGCTAGATGGAACTGTGGGTAACATGCAATATATAGGTTTATACTGTGGAGGTTAGATAGCGCTGTACACTTACCCTACATGCAATATATAGGGACATTGCATTTAGGTAAACAACACAATCCTTATTTTCTCCTGCGCTACAACCCTCCATATATACATACCAGTGATGCGCCGTGCCTTCTGGGCTGGGGGAGGCATCCCCCAGCCCGCCGAAGCTCTGTCCCCATCCCGCCAAAGCTCCGCCCCCAGCACAGTAACCAAGCTGTGTGGGAGGAGGAAAGGAGGAGACAGGGAGGAGCCTCCCTGTCCCTCACTTGCTCGTCACTGCTGAGGCATCTGGATCAATGGCCTAAGGGTTTTTTTTTTTTGATTGGACAGCTTGGACCAATGGTGCTTTGCCATTGGTCCAAGCCATCCACAGAGCTCACGCCTCTAACACAGATTAGAGGCTGTGACAGCTCTTACCTCACCAAGTTAGGTTACACAAGCAGTGGGGAAGCCCGCTGCTGTGTAACCTAACTACCTGTCAAAAGCCGATTCAGCGCTGCAGTGTAATTAACAGGCAGCGCTCTGTCCATGACAGGTTACACAGCAGGGAGGCTTTCCCTTCTGTGTAACCTGTAACAAGCCGATCTGAATGGAGAAAAAGCTGTCAGCTTCAGACTTGAAGCTGACACCTTTTTTCTTCATAATACTAGGTGAGGCTCTGCCTAACCAGCCTCCCCTGACCGCACGTCCCTGATACATACAGCCCTATACAACCCTCCATACATACATACATACAGCCCCATACAACCCTTCATACATACATACATACAGCCCCATACAACCCTTCATACATACATACATACATACAGCCCCATACAACCCTTCATACATACATACATACAGCCCCATACAACCCTTCATACATACATACATACATACAGCCCCATACAACCCTTCATACATACATACAGCTCCATGCAACCCTCCATGCATACAGACTCCATTTTCAGAATATCACCATTCTTTATCTAGCTTACCCCAAAATATCTTCCACTAGTATGTTTAGGGCGCTGGGGTTGCGAATGAGCTTGTCTAGGAAGCTCACAATGTCTGAGAACTTGGGTCGGTGATTCCTTTCCTTCTGCCAACAATGAAGCATCAACTGATGCAGGGACACTGGACAGCCCATTGGAGCAGGGAGACGATAGCCTTCCTCAATAGACAGAATGACCTAAACAAAGAATAACATAAATAAGCATTATATTACACATGTACATTTATATTCAATGGCCCATACAAAGCACACAAAATAAGTTGGGGGGAATTTATCCCAAAATGGGAGCAGTTGCCCATGGCAACCAATCAGATTCTCTCTACAGTCTGCTCAGGTAAGATTTGAAAATGAAAAAGAGAAGCTGATTGGTTGTCATGCACATCTGTTCCAGATTTTATCTTCTCCACACTTGATAAATTCCCCTCCATTTTGAAGAACCTATAGTAGTGTTAGTGCAAAAAATGATGGCTGTGAGCTTTATAAACCCTTCCACCAATCACTGAAACAAGAAGTGATCTGGAGTAGAGGAGGTAGGAAGGCAAAGCAGAACATGCATAAGAACAAATCCTAAAGTAAAATAGAGGCACGTGCCCATTTTAACCAATAAAATGTTTGTCTATCCTGCATTAAAACATATCTGGACTATGACAGGCTTCTTTAGAGACCATAGACTAGGAGTAGGCAACCTTGAAAATTTGGGAACAAAAGAAACAAAAGAGCGCCATGACTTAGCGCAATCACTGGTGGTAGGGAGATACTGTAATAAGCGGGTAGTTTGTTGCAATGACATAGCGTGGAGCTCATAAAAGGACCCAGAAATGGTTAAACCCTCTTGATCAGATCATAGGTCAATGTTGGTGGTCGTTCATATAGGAAAGACAGCTCTGGAAAATTGAAAACATAAGAAACGACCAGTGCCCTGATTGTGTGACACTGTGAGCCTATATGGACTAGATTGAATAGAAATACACTCATGTGGTTATGGAATAGATTGCGTCCTTCTGGCATTGTAGTGCTTTGGCCGGATTTTCTGAGTGCAGTCATAGCGGCAGTCTATCCTGGTGTGCTGTATACTACTCGTGGGATGGTGACTGTAGTTTGCCAGGTGGGGTAAGCAGTTCTCTAATGGTCTGTGTAGATGGAATGGCAATGAATTGGCAGAACGGCGGCTGGAAGGTGCTGAGGAGAGCAAGAACCACCTTACATTATAGCGGTGGAAGTAAGCTCTACACCATGTGAGTGCAACACACCACTCGCTTATTACAGTATCTCCCTACCACCAGTGACTGTGCTAGGTTGTTTTTGCACTCTTTTGTTTCTTTTTGTTTCCTAGCTCTACACAGGATACCTCGACCTGTCCCTCAAGAGCCTGCACACCTACTATTGGCACTACCCAACTCTCCCATTTAATACTGGAACCACATATCTGGAGTGCGCTTGGTATATCCCCCGCCTTGAAACTTCAGCTGTGCTGAAACTTGCCAGCAGCTGTCTGAGTCTTGCAATGCCTCATGGGACAAGTTCCACAACAGATGGGGTTTTCTACCCCTGCTATACGCTGTTTATCTTCTCTCAAACATATCACATTTATTTAGAAACTATATTGAATGGTAGATAAATCATACACTCCATGTCCATGTGCAACCAGATTCTATAAATACTGTTGCTGTCTGATGTCCCAATACAATTATTTCAAGAGAATTAAACTTTTTTTAGGGGTTCCCCTAGGAGGTTTTAATGAGCGCTTCAGTGGTAAGTCCCAACACTACAGACAACAGATGTCTATCGTTCCTGGAGAGATATCAACTCGTCTATTGTCAGCTTTACAATGAAAAATGATCTGCACATCAACAGTGTTGTTAATGCACTGCAGCAAATATTTCTTTAGCCTGATATCACAGATCTCTTTTTAGCATTGTGGAGAGTCGGTCAGCCTCAACAGGGGCACTGCACCTGGTACTGGATCATGGAAATGTAACGTGGAGTGCATTCTTAATTACAACGGCCTAATGTACACTACATATAAATGGCAACTAAAGAAAGCTTGTCACAAGCAGCCCGATTACTTATCCGGTTACTACAATGACACCTTATAAAATGTGTTAAACAGACTGCCGTTGTGTAATGTACCTCACCAGTATAATATTTGTGTTGCACACAGGGGTGAGACAATTAACTGTTCTCCATTCGAAATAAGATCATAGCAATTCACATCAAGTTACCAAAGTATTTGCCTTTCGCAGCTTAATGAGAATAATGCCACAACATCTACGTGTGACAATGGCCCTGAGTAGTGAAACCCAATGGCCCCCGAGTTCATTTACCAAGTAATTCTATTATCCCTTTATAATTACTGCTCATGCTGCGCCACACTCTCCGGAGGCGTTTATTGTAGATTTTACTGCAAAAAAGTGCCTTTGATGAATAAATTGAGTAGAAATTGTTACACTTTTTTTTTCCCCCCATCAGTCTGAACAATGCGGTGACATTCCCTTTGGATAAGCGCTTACTCTTGGGAGACATGGCGTTTGCGAACAGCCTGCCACACTCTTTGTTCAATTTTCCAAGGCAATTATGTCAGCATTGTTTGAAATCCATTAGCTGTTCTCTTTTTTCCACTCAGAAAATCGGTGACTCCTACAGTGTGCATTAATTTATACATTCACTTACAGATCGAAAAGAAGTCTTTTAGGATTGTTCGTTGCGATAGATGCACTTTGCCTGAACTTTTGTTTTCCACTGATGAAAAAAATATATTTCCAAAGCTTGCCGCACGTAACACCTGCAACAATTTCCGGCTTTACTTCTTAAAGCTTGATTCATTCTAAGCGAGAACAACAAGGCCTTTTAACCCGAGAAAACTTTCAAACCATCTGTAGAACTGGTGTTCTAGGTGTCCTGCTTTGTGTTTGGCAACCTGTTATTCCGTAATGGAGTAAACTGCAAGGTGCTGAACAAATCTTCTAACTTGGAGTCTTATTAAGCGGCAGCTTTTACACAATCTCTGTTATTGTTGACGTCCAGCATGTAAGGAAAGTAAATATAGCTTCCTGCAGTAAAATATATTTCTGTAGTCCTATATTCTTCAGTACATTTCTATTCTATAAAACTTGATTTTGTGTACTTGGTATTTTTCTGAGCACATATTTATTCTCAGTGAATACAAAATTATTGAACATTCTATTTTAATGCTTACCTTAAAGTTATTTTTTACACATTTTTTGTACCATACCATTCTTCTATTGGAAGAGCAGAGCTGTATATATTTTTTCTAGTAGCTAACTGTAATTTCTTGGCCTCAATGATTCACAATTGCCAAGAGAAAATCTTAAAGAGAATAGTTCCCTTTTGGCTAATGCATGAATCGGAACATTTAAAGAAGAACTCTGGACAAAACTTCCAAAACTGCAAGGGATAACTGCTCATTTTTATCTAGGTGCTAAAATAAAATTTATACTCATCTGAACCTCAGAGCCGGCCGGCTGTCACAGCTCCCTCCAGCCTGTCTTCTCCGCTGTAGTGATGGTATGTCCCTCGGTGTCCTCTGGTTCAATACACAGTGTATTGGACATGATGACTCGAGGATCCTTAGACTGCTGCAGTGGAGAGGGAGTGAAGCTGAAGGGACCAGTCGGCTCTGATGATTGGCAGTTTTAATCTTAAGGCATAATAATTCCTGCTTGCTCATGCTTACTCATTAAATATTTACATTTACCCCCTTACTTAGCTTTAGTTTGTCTGAGCATGGCTCTTGGAGCCGCAGAAGCTTTTAGCTAAAATGTGCTAGTCTGCACAGCATATTAGCACATTATGGCAGACTTACTTACCTGCCAAAGCAATCCCCGTCAGCTCTGTGTTCCTCCCTCTCCAGTGCTTCCATCTTCGGTCCCATCCTCTTCTAGGTTTCAAGTCTTTGGCTGCTTGACTGGCTGGGCCCAATGACGTAACTCCAGCACATGAGCACTGGAGGTACTTCTCTATAACTCTGATATAACTATCTATAACTCTCTATCAATCTGCTGTAACTAACTATATTAGAACCTTCTCTCTCTCTATCTCCTACAACACACTATATAGGGCCGCGGTGTCAGCAGCCTTATATAGTGTGCTGCAGGGACTTAGCTGTGAGACATGATTGGGCAGAGTCATCGTGACTTTGCCCAATCATGGTTCTATATTTGTACTGAGCCCTGATTGGCACAGTCTTGCACCTGACTTGCGGTCAGGTACAAGACTGTAGCCAATTACCGTTTTGGATGGCGCAGTGCATCGTGGGATGTTCTGCGGTCGAACAGACCGCGGACATCCCGTAATGTTCGGCGTTCAGCGAACGCTAGAACAGGCTATGTTCGAGACGAACCTATGTGCGACTCGAACATGCAGCCCATCCCTACCTACAAAGAGACCCACCTTTGCTGGAGGCTGTTGCTGTTTTTCTTTAAAAGTTGTTAATTCCTCGTTTTCTAGTTGGTCGCGTCAGCAATCTTCCCCCCGCCCCCTTATACGGGTGCAGCCATCGTTCTAATAGAGGCACCCGTGCGAACTCGTGCCCGCAGTGGCTGTGTGCGTCCATAGACACACACAGCCCTGTGGCAGGCTGCGCCCCTTCTCTCTTTGTTTGATGGCAGAAGGAGCCGGTGGCTCCTCTGCCATCAGTATCCTCCCCCCGCAACCAGTAAGTTCGGGGAACAGAGGATCGCTTCGGGACCGGCGGCGGGGACGAGTGTAGCTGACAGGTAAGTGTGGGGGGGACCGGGGGAGAAAAAAGGTGCTGGACCGGTTTTACCCTAATGTAGAGAATGCATTAAGGTAAAAAACGCCCAGACCTTAATACTACTTTAAGCTCAAAAAACTTAATAAAAATCCCCAAATGGTAAAAGGAAGCTTTTATGGTAGAAGAAATTTGCACAGTCTCTTCTGCCATAGAAGGCCAGCCAATCTGCTTTTTTTTACACTTAAAACTGTATCTAAACCCAAACAAAAATACAATAAATTGCAGCTTCCCAGTCCTTAGATATGGTGGCTGTGTTTTCTTTATTTCATCATTTATCCTTACTTTCTTGGTGATCCTGCCATTAACACATTCCCTGTTCTATGGTGACAATGGTCACTCACTGCACTTTATGGAGGAACAGCATTGCCAGGCTAGGCTGCTCTCCTAATTTGGGCTACAAACACCTCTACATCTATCTGTCTCTATTACATAAGGAGACGGTCTTCAGTAGTTCCCAGAGGATAGTGGAGAAATGTGATAACATTGTTTGAGATTTCAGTTCATTGCTCAGGAAGTTACTAGGACACAAGGTTTCTGAAAAGATCAACAGGTATTTTTCTGCATGTGTATAAAATGTACTTTGACCTGAAAAAGAAAACAAATCACATCTAGGGACTGGTAGGCTGCAATGCATTATCATTATGTGTTCCTATAGATCTCTGTTATCTGTTTCTGCTTAGAGTACACAGATTGTGTTATCAGCAGCAACTTTCAGGCTTCTTGTGATTTCTCACTTCTAACTCCCAGGCCTACAGTTCCCCTCAGATAATACAATTTAAACTAATTATGGTGGGTTACAAATATAACTGTTGTAAGTCTGCATATTTAATGTAATTAAAGTCTAATTGTTAAGATTCTTACATAAGCCTTATAGCAACTGGTTCTCTTTAAGTTACCCTAACCTGGCTGTCTATCACTAAATAGTCCTACGTACCCCAGCCATCTGCTTAGCATTGTTTCTATACTGTACTACTTTAAAGCCAGCCTTTGCCATCCCTCTTATAGATGTTGTAGCACTGCCCTTTGCAGTATCATACTATACTAGGGCAGAACAAAAGTAGAAATGTTATATTTAGCATTGACAGATAGATGTCTACAGAGAGTGACAGGTGGGGAAATATCTTCTGCTGTTCATGGCCCAATCGCTGTTTTCATTCAACCCTTCTCAGCCTGAAGCCAGAACTACTTCTCATCTTGCTGACACCTTCCTTTTTGTGAAATAATCGCGCTCCATCATATGCATCCAAAATTGGAAGGGCTCATTAAAGTAGCACTTAAGGTAGTGGTACACTGCCTGATCCTCACCTGGTTGTTGCATTGTGCCGTTGTATAGGGGATTATTTATGACCATCCTTATGAAAAATGCATTTTATCATCCATTTGATCATCCTTTAACCATCCTTGGGGATAATGCGTTTGAGATCAAAACTGAACACAAGCTGAGTACCAAGTGACTCAAAAGCCCACCTACCCTAGCACTTCCACACTACATTCACATCATTATACCCATTCAAACCTACTGAGATTCCAGCAACAAATTTACCCAAGTAAATAGAGCAATAACCAATACATTTTCTGCAACAGAATTCTTGTAGTAAATTTGTTATAAAGCTTGATGCAGAAAATTAAGAGTTTAAGTAATATGCTTTATTGGCTAACTTAAGTCTTAGAAAGATGAAAGCTTCCGGGATTCTTTGGGCTTTCATGCATTTCATGAAATGTATTTGAAATGTATAAAGCCTCTCGAAGAAATCTAAGGAATCCCTAAAGCCTGCATCTTTAAAAATGTAGGTAAGCCAATTATCTGCATCACTTAACCTACCACCTTTTTGCACTAATTGATGGCTAACATGATGCAATACTCTACTATTGTTAAACAGCTTGAGAAAGACTATACAATATATACATATAGTAATTGAAAAATTAAATAAAGTAACTGCACAAACTACAAACTAAACATACACTTAGATGAAAAGAAACAAAAAGAAACAGAGAGGCTACTTACATCCTGATTGGACATCTCCCAGTATGGCCGCTCTCCATAAGACACCACTTCCCACATCACAATACCATAGCTCCATGCATCGCTGGCTGAAGAAAATTTTCGGTAAGCTATTGCTTCTGGTGCCGTCCATCTGATAGGGATTTTTCCACCCTAAAAACAGAAATTTCTAGCTAATATATACTGTGTGTTTGGGTATGTATATATTGCATTCAATAAAAACTACAAATGAACTCATGAACGCATGAGACACAGTAAGCAAAAAAACTGACAGTGGTTTTAACCTTTTCTATCCAACATGAAAAAAGGATTTACCTTTAAATATATTTTAAATACAAAGTCTTAAAAAAGTGGTCTGGTTGCAAACTGGAATATGGGGCAAAATTAGAGTTACATGGCTACTGGTAGAAGATAACATCATTTAGTCCTCCCCCTTAAAACTGAATTACTGTGTATATTTAAAAAAAACTGTTACATGAAGTGATACACTCCAAAATGGGAAATTCCATCTTACAGCATTGTTTCAAAAAATGCAAAACTACCACTTTGTAATACATACACTCAGGGCCTTCCCTATAATGAGGCTGCCTGATGCATCTCTTTCGGTCACGTGGAGGGGTGGCGGGCATGGCCGCTTTGCTGCACAATGTTTGTAGTTTGTCTGCAGCCCCCTTTTTGGCCAGAGCATCCCAGGTTGCTCAGAGTTGGGTGGGGGTATGTGTATAGGCCATACACATCTCCCCACCCAGCTCTTAGCAGCCTGGAATGCTGTGGCCGACGTCTTTCACCTCCTGGAAACTACTGACATCAATGGTTGCCACTGGAGCTGAGCGGGATACTCTGGTCAGCTCCTTGCAACCAGTGATGTTAGTGAGCGTGCACCATTCCCCCCCACCGGTTATCGAGCACCATTCCCGCCCCCGCAATGTGCACCGCCAGCACCCAACCCCCCTGCCTGCCCACCTCAGGTGGTGAAACAGCTAGGGACACCCCTGCACACATTGGTAAGCAAATGCAGCTGTAAGTAAACAAGACAACAATTACCTAGTTGTTATTGTCATCTTCCATTGAAAAAACATTTATACCCCTTCCTCAGTATGAGATGCACTAATCCAAAGCATACAATTCACAGGCTTTGGATTCGGATGCAGGCAATGCTTGGCTATCCAATCAGAAAATCCAGTATGCTTTGCAAACTAATTGTCATGGGTGCATTCTGTATTAAATGTAATAAATTATATAATACACCATTCATAATACTGGTCAAAAATCATTACAGTTAACTTTTTTAATAAACCCACCAAGTGCTACATCTGGCACAATATAAATTGGGAGAATAAATGCTTCTTTCAATTACAGCCTGTTTTAAAAGACACGTCATTTCCATGCATCCATAAGTGGAGTGAGTTAGAAGGAGCACAGGCCCTCCTGATCATGGGCCTAGTTTCTATTCTTACTGCCCCAGTTGCTAGACAACTGCTAGAGTTTCTCTGCTAATACTAAGCACAGATCAATTCCCTTCAGATTCTTAATGCTGCTTTCTACAGCCATGTCCAAAATTTGCTGTGCTAGCTTGCCATTAAGAAGTATTCTTAAATGATCTGAGTACTGAAAAGGATTCATCAAACCTGTCATTTTCCTTCTCAAGAAGCCTTTACTGATAACAAGCATTTTTTCTCAGCGGGTCGATGGTGCATTTCTGCCCTGCTTATAAAACTATAATCATCCAAGAGAAAAATGCTAATGTGATTCCTGAGCAATATGCCATATTAACCGGGCTACTGAAACGTTTATGAACTGGGCTGTTTAGTGCTTTCTGGCTCGTGACAATGCCGGATGAGCTACGAATGTCATTAAATGACAAATTTCAGAGGGCGGTAAAGGATCTGTACTAATGAGGATACAAGTGTCATAAAGGCTAAGCGGTGTGTAGCTTCTGGGAGGCAGCTGTGATACAGGCCTCCCTGCTGCCATGTCACACATCAGGTACAGCACAATGGGCTTAAAGGGAGATAAGTTAGAAATGAAACATTGCTCAAAGGCTGCTAAATGCTATTAAGTATATAAAAAAATCTGAAATCTGTTCCTCTGCACACAGCACTTTCTTGTTTCATTATCCTTTTGTTATGATCAATTAAGTGGAAGAACGTTGTGGGGGGTGCCTGACAAGAACAAGTACATTGTGCAGTTTATAATATTAATCCCCTGCATTTTTTCCTTAAATTGTAATACTATTTTAATTTCTCTAAGCTAAGAACGGGTAAGCTGTTGTAAAATTAGAATGTTTTGCAGATAAGTGAGTAAAGATGTCCCATGCATAACCCAACTGTCAGCCAAGAGAGGTTATTTTGGTCCCTTTGTAATATCTGCCTTTGTATGAGTCACCCGTGACTTGCAAGACACACAATTATCTACTCAGTGTGCAGTTCTACTTTGGCCCATTGCACAATATTTCTGTATCAGTCATATTTCCCTGTCACTGTGAATGGCTTCAGGTCAAGACTCCCTTAGGTGAGGGAAATGTCAGACAGGACAGTCTGCCAATGTGTTCAACTTTAAAGCTGAACTCTAGGCACAAAAACTCTCATTTAAATATATATTCCTCAATATATACAAAAAATAAAAATCCACTTTGTGCACCAAATGCTTTTGCATACCCAATTATTACCTTGTAAAATTATCAGGGACATCACCACTGTGCTGCACATAGCCTGTGCAGAGAGCAGTTCTGTAGGAGGAACCCAGCAGGCCCCACCCACTATAGGCTGCCTGTAGAAAACTACAGGAGGTGCAGATACAACACCAGTCACCCTACACAAGGAGAGGGAGTAGCAGTGACTGGTCTTGATTAAACGTAGCCCCTGCACAGAAGAAAAATATCACACTAGATTACTGTAATGGATCCCAGCCATCTGCGCATGCGCAACCTGCGCGTTCCTGCACTACTCGGGAACGCGCCATCCCACGCATGCGCAGAAGCGCTAGATTACCAACACGGAAACGCGCCATAGCAGCGCATAGGAAGTGACATCACTAGCCCTATATAAACTCAGCAGCAGTACCACCATGTTGCTGGTTTATCATCAGCTAATCCTTGTTCCTGTGTTTCGTGATAACTTGCTTGATTCTTGTGACCCGGACTTCCTCGATTAACCTTGATTTCTGCCTGCCTTGACCTCGGAACTGTTATTTTACCATTCTTCTGCCTAACCCTTTTGTACTTGGATTGCCCGCTCGGATTTTGACCTCGGCTCATCTCATCGGATTATGGCTTGCACGGCGCTCAACACCACTGGCACTCCTGCCACTTTTTGTCCCTCTAGGCTCTGTTCCCATCCTCAGAGTCTCCCAGGACACAAGGTGCAAGGATGCACAGAAACGCAAGCCGGCTTGCAGCATTTTTGCAGATCGCACTAGACCGGAATGCAGGCACTAATGTGCCTGTGTTCCGGGTGCGTGCGATCGCTCTGCGGGTGGGGGGCATGGCTGCCGTGCCATTGACTTCAATGCACTGCCATGCCCCTGAACGCAGATGTTTTTCATTGGCAGATCTCATTGAGCTCGTCATTTAGAAAGTAGATCTCCAGACGAAAAATTGTGGACACCCCTGGACTAGTGTATATACTTTAACGGTATGCGGTACCTGTGCTGTATGACGTTATACAGGCTCACGTAACATTACAATCTAAAACTTTTTACCCTCTAGGGGTATATGCTTAAATCTAATAATTCCTGGGCTCACTAACGCACAGCAATTGAAATTCATCAGCAGTCACATCCGCAGTTGAGATACATATAAGACATTTCCAAAGGATTGTTACACCTCCCTTCTGGAGAGTGGCTCCTTTTGTACCCCATGGTCCCTGTGTGTAATGTAAAGTAGCCACCACTCCAAGCTCACTCCCCTGATGGATTACAATCTCTATACAAATTAGTAACCTAAACATGAGATTGTAGTCCTTCCCAGGAACGAGCTTGGCGTGGTGGCTACTTTACAACACACACATGGTGAACAAATGTAGCCATCCTCCAGAGGAAGGACAGTGTCAGCATGAATTCAGAGATGATTTGAGGATCTACAGCTGAGTAGAATTTTTCTAACAAGAGCTTTTTGTACAAACTTGCAACTTCACACATGGCGAACTTTTGTGCCTTTTAGTGCCTAAAAGTCCAGCGAAGGGCAACCAAACTAATTAGGGGCATGGAGGACCAGAGCTACGAGACGAGGCTACTAAATTTAAACATGTTCACATTAGAGGTGAGGAGATTAAGGGGGGATATGATTTCCATGTACAAAATGTTTAATGGTGGTAGCAACATTAGCGATAAACTGTTTAAAATTAACTCCGTTACAAAAACTAGAGGCCATAACCTAAAATTGGTGGAAAAAAAATTCCAGCACAAGGTGCGAAGGGGGTTCTTCACAGTAAGATCAGTTAGGGTCTGGAACTCACTGCCACAGGCGGTGATTTCAGCAAATAATGTGGAATTGTTCAAGAAACTTTTGGACGATTTCTTAAGGGACCGTAATATACAGGGGTACGGGTACTCCTAGAATGAGATCCTAATAGGTTGGACTTGATGGACTAATGTCTTTATTCAACCTCAAATACTATGTAACTATGTAGAGTAAAGAGGGGGAAACTGCAGGGAAGAAATCTAAAAAGAAAGGATAGTGACTGGCTTGGGAAATTTATCCCAAGCAATCAATTTAGTAGGCACAGCTAGGGAGCTTCAATCAAGGTTGTGGAGGTACCTACATACATAGAAAAGTTTTCCAACCTGCCTGTAAATGGCCGGACTGGGAGAGAGTCTTCTAATGTCTGCAGGCACCTTAGATCTTTCACTGCGATCATAAGGTCATTGAGCAATCTGCCTGTTCTTGCCTGCAACAATGTGTTTACATCACTGCCTCATCTCATGACTTCATATAGTGCATGCAACTTGAATGTTGTATTCTCTTTTGCAAAAAAGGGAATGAAGGGCAGCAAGTTGAAAAGAGATAATCATCTGTATTGGAAATCAGCATTTTTACCATTATTTAGTTAAAGCATAACTTAACCCAAGAACCAAAAAAATATATATTGCAGTGTTTATCAGATTTAGATTTGGTGGCTGCATTCATTTTCTTTTTACAAGCCAAAAACATTTTC